GGTGAAGAGGATGATCGTGTAATCCTTGGCCTTCAAGCTGAAGACCTGCTTGATCAAGCGCGCCACCTCCTCCTCCTCCTTGGTGAAGCGGCCCGGGCGCATCACCTGCAGGATGACGTGGGGGCCCGGCATGCAAAACTCGATGCACTTGCTCACTTCGGCCGAGGTTTCCTGCTCGAGACGAGCCGTGTCGAGGAAGCCCGGTGTGTCCACCACCACCACTTTCCGGCCGTTCACCATGGCCTCCGCCCGTTGGCAAGTCTGGGTGACGGAGCCGAACGACATCTTGGATTCGAAGACCGGGCTCCCCAGGATGGTATTGCTCACCGCGCTTTTCCCGTTGCCGGTTTTCCCCACCAGGACGATCCGCCGTTCGGGCCCTACAAACCCAAAGCGGGAAGAGGAGAGAGAAGGAGGGGGACCAGTCAGGAGCACTGGAGATGACCGGGGTCAAAGGCGCCATCAGTTCAGAATCCCTGTGTGCTCACGAGCGACCTCAATCCAGTCCCCCTTGACGGCCTTTCTTATCTCCCGCTCATTTCCCCCCCGACTGTTAGTAGGTCCGATTCTTGTAGGGAGCTTAAGCTTGCAGTCCTCGACTTAACCACCCTTTCCTTCCTCGACCGTCCAAACTTACAACGGCAAAAAGGACTTACGACCGTTTCTTCACACTCACGACCGTTGACGCATTCCCTGTCATCACCCAATCGAAATTCAGATGCTCGGCCACCGCTTCATATTTGCGACGGTGGCAGCCATCGTCCGTTCGTGTGTGTGTGTTTGACCCACACAATTTTCAATGGGGAAGCCCGATTTGCTTAATGACCGGGGAGAATGACTCCCTTCCACAAATGTCCCATTTAACGACTGAAAAATTTTGGACTCCATTTGGGTTGTAAATTGAGGATACCTGGACTCTTCCCCTCTGGGGAAAGCCCTGGGTTTCACTTAGCAACGGCAGGGAGAAAAATTATCACGTGGGGCAAAACTCTCTTCAATGTCTCACTTAACGACTGAAACGTTGGGCCCATCGTAAAGCCGAGGACTTCCGGGAGCCCGAATTGCCTGACTTCCCCAGTCTGAGGCCACCATAGCCCATCCTCCCCACCCCACCCAGGACCCCAGCTGTTTCCCAACCCCCGCTGCAGCCCCTCCCCCAATTACCTTGGATATTTCCAGACATTTCCGGAAAAATTTCACAGCGCCGATCTGGAAGTTTCTGTGGGAAAAGCAAAACTCTG